CCATAATATTTTTGGACTTACCTTATTTATTCGACCTCCATTCCCACCAAACTTTGGTGAGTCTTTTGTAGTACCTTGTTCGGCAACGGTTCTGAACATGATGGAGTTTATAACATCTCCGTGAGCAATCAATATTTCTTTAATAGGACTTTTCAACTTGTAATTCCATTCTGATCCATCAGTATAGCCTCCCCATGGCCCCACCAATATCGAGCCCGCTCGATCGTAACTCACTTGATTTCCCTTCACATACATACCAAATTAGATCAATGGCTCCATTATCAAATTTTATAATGAATGAATATAAACACAGTCATGTAAAAGAAGAGATGGCAAGGTACCATTGTTGGCAATTCACTTTCACTTTTTGTTATTTTCCCTTTCCTATGATCAGTTGATCCTGATCCCTATAAAAGGTGTAAGAAGAGTAACATAAATTAATTGTTTAATGAAAGGGATCTCAATTAAGGAAGTAGAGGTAACTAAGCAAACAAGCGAATAATCACAACATACGTCATGGATTTCAATTATTTCTTCAACCATAGGTTCATTTGGCTCAATTGCTTCATCTTCAGGTTTCTGTGCCAAAGCAGGGGGAGTAGGTTTCTGCAAATAAATACCAATAGCATTAAGGTACTCTCCACAATGCCCGTGAAATCCCACAATAGCTCCGCCTTCTTTAATCACAACTGAAAATAGTGTTCCACCATTCTCAGACCCAAATGGTCCATAATTCTTTGCATTAGTTGTAAAACATAGAGATTTTACAACCAAATGGCCATTGAAACGTCCTAATGTACCCTTGATGCTCGTTAAATGTTCCAATGGATTTTCCTCAAAAATAACCTGAGATTATTGCAAATCACATATCGGTTAATTAAGTAGCCGAGTCGGAAATTTTGAAAAGAATTAGAAAAGTTCAAGAATGTCAAACTATAGATTTTGCTTTGTGATACCATAAATACAAATTTGGACACTTACTTAAAAACCTCTCAATGCAAAGGAACCGGCAAACTATAGATTTTGCTTTGTGATACCATAAATGCAAAAAAGTTGCTACACTATCATATTAAGTTGACCAATAACGTGATTTTTTCATATCAAGAGTCCGGTAAAGTAACTGGAAGACCGTAAAATAAATGAATTACCTGCTATAGCTGGTTCAAATGTCTTGATAATTAATTATTATTTTAACATAATTTAAGCTTATTGCTATGACATGACATAAATTTTACTTGAGAAGAATATTCCAATCATTAGAATTAAATATGTCGACCATAATATTTTTGGACTTACCTTATTTATTCCACCTCCATTCCCACCAAACTTTGGTGAGTCTTTAGTAGTACCTTGTTCGGTAACGGTTCTGAACATGATGGAGTCTATAACATCTCCGTGAGCAATCAATATTTCTTTAATGGGATTTTTCAACTTATAATTCCATTTTGATCCACCAGCATTGCCTCCCCATGGCCCCACCAATATTGAGTCTGCTAGATCGTAACTCACTTGATTTTCCTTCACATACATAACAAACAAAATCAACGGCTCCATTATCAAATTTTATCCCTATATTGGTAGTATTATTTTGCAGCGGACCAAAAAAAAACAGAATGAACATAGAGACAGTCATGTAAAGGAAGAGATGGCAAGGTACAATTGTTGGCAAATTACATTAATTTTTTGTTATTTTCCCTTTCTATGATCAGCTGATCCTGATCCCTATATAAGGTGTCAGATGATTAACACAAATTAATTGTTTAATGAAAGGGATCTGGGCTTGTGTGCAAGTGTGTGAAGAAAATTAAGGAAGTAGAGGCGACTAAGCAAACAAGCGAATAATCACAACAAACGTCATGAATTTCAATTATTTCTTCAACCTTAGGTTCATTTGGTTCAATTGTTTCATCTTCAGGTTCCATTGCCGAAGCAGGGGGAGTAAGTTTCTGCAAATAAACACCAATAGCATCAAGGTATGCTCCACAACGCCCGTGAAATCCTACAATAGCTCCACCTTCTTTCATCACAACTGAAAATGGTATTCCACCATCCTCGGACCCAAATGGTCCATAATTCTTTACATTAGTTATAAAACATAGAGAGTTTATAACCAAACGGATACCACAACGTCTAAATGTCCCCTTGATGCCTGTTAAATATTCCAATGGAATTGCCTCAATAGCAACCTGAGATTATTGCAAATCACACATCAGTTAGATAAGTAACAAAGTCAGGAATTCTGATAAGAATTCAGAGAAAGGTGCAAGAATGTCACATTAGGATTCGAAATCAACAAGTGCATTCATATCCTTAACTTGAAAGATGCTTACAACAACAACAACAACAAAAACCTAACATAATTCTACAAAGTAAGGTCTGCGCAAGGTAATTTGTATGCAGACACTATTTCTGAAAGACCCCGGCTAACTTGAAAGATGCTTATATAACTATAAGATTATGATGTGTACGCTGAAAATGATGCAAAAAGTTGCCACACTACCATGTTAAGTTGATCTATAAATGAATAATCTGTTATAACTGGTTTAATCTTGATAATTAACTTGAGAAGAACGTTTCAATCATGAGAAATAAATATGACATCCATAATAATTTTAGACTTACCTTGTCTCTTCGACCTCCATCCCCACCAAATATTGGTGAGTCGTTGGTAGTACCCTTTTCGTTAATGGTTCTGAACATGATGGAGTGTATAAACTCGCCATGAGCAATCAATATTTCTTTAATGGGACTGTTTAGCTTGTAATTCCATTCAGATCCACCAATGTTACTCCCCCATGGCTCCACCAATATTGAGTTCATTTGATCATAACTCACTTGATTTTCCTTCACATACATAGCAAATTAAATCAATGGCTCCATTATCAAATTTTTATCCCTATATTGGTAGCATTATTTCGCAGTGAAAAGGAAATAGGATGAATATAGATAGTCATGTAAAGGAAGAGAAGACAAGGTACCATTGGCGATTTGCCTTGATTTTTTTGTTATTTTCCCTTTCTCTTATTATTTCTTATGATCATGATCATCCCTTTTTTAAAAGTTATTCTTCTATTTAAGGTGTTAGAAGAGTTACTTAAAGTCATTAGTTTTATGAAAGGGATCTGTGCTTGTGTGCAAGTACGAGGTAAAGAAAGTGAAGTTGAGGTGCTTAAGCAAACGAGGGAATAATCACAACATACGTCATGGATTTCAATTTCTTCAAACACACGTTCATTTGGCTCCATGTTTTTAACTTCAGGTTCCTTTGATAAAGTGGGAGGAGTAAGTTTCTGCAAATAAACACCAATAGCATCAA